ACACGTGACTTTAGCAATTGCCAGTTGTCCTTTTATTGCTCTTATGTGACCCTTTAAAAGCCTTCGACTGATAACATGTCGGTACGAAGTCTCACCAAGGTGGGGCCCCTTCATTTGTTGCTATTGGGGAGCGTCTTGCGGAGGTTGGGATGGCATAACTGAACAAGGGCAATGAAATACACTTAATTATAACAATAAATTAGTTGACGAACAATATAAAAAAATGTTTTTTGGAAGGATTCACAGAGTAATATAAAATATTCCTTAGATGAACTGCAGCCGGCATCCGACTCGGAACCATGCGCGAAGAACTCTACAAAATTAACCGAGGGATACGCTTTTCGAAATGTGCAGATCACATTAGGAGTTTGAAACGTGCTTTCCTCGTATTATGTAACAAATAAACCTCTTCAGCATTATGCAGAATATATTGCGCTGCCACTCTCCAACCAGAAATTTCAGTTCCCTTCTTATTTCCGAGGCTTGCATTTTAAGTTAACTAACACATGGTTGCATGCGAGCTCCATAATAAACGATAAATAAACCATAAACAAACTTGTTAATTGGCAACGCAAAGAAGAAACAACACCTAATATTTTGGAGTGACTATGTATCTGACTGTGGGTGCTTTTCGGTACTCTAAACTAAGGTATAAACACGAAGCTGACGAATTAACTGAAGATTGCTCTGACAACAGCTCACCTGGGGGAACCAGTTCTTGCACCATTGGGTTAGTCACAAGAACGGTGGGGCACGCATTCTTCCTCAAACGAGACTTCCTATAGCTGGCAAATACGGTAACGTCAAAGTGCTCGCTCCACAGACGACGCTGGCACAGCTTGCTCATCGGCCGGCTTCTGAGGTCTTGACGATTTGCATAAGCAATCCATTTCGATGCTCTAATGAAAAGATTGAGGAATATCGTATATTTCAATGCTTCCAGTTTCGAACGCTGGCAAAAACGTTTGATATAGAGGATCACCTGTCGTCTGTCGGAAATCGGAAGAATGAGCACTCCGAACTTAATTGTAAACCTGAGACTGGGGAAGAAAAGACAACACAAGAAAAGGTAGAAAAAGAGGAGGCAACGTCTCAACTCTACCTTCTGCCTTCTTGTACCTTCTGTTGTGTTCTCTTTTCTGCCCCAGTCTCAGGCTCACAATCATGTTCAACTTACACCAGCTCGCTTGCACTCTGAATATTTTTTCGTGAGCACTCTGAGTTGTTTTTTTTTTTCGAAGAATTGTTGCACCACTTTGCCTCGCAGTGGATTCCCTAAATCCTCGACATGAGACAAACAACACGCTCGGCAGAATCTCCGCCAAACTAGAGACTTCTCTAATCAGCTCCGTATTCTGTAGTGCCGTAAAATCTGCACTTTCGGTTTCAACACGCGTGAAATGGTTTAAAAACAAGAAATTACGCGCGCGCAAAAAAAAAACAAAAAAACGCTCGTTTGCCTTGCTTTCGCCCTTACTGATGATTGGTCGGAAGAGCCCAGAGGTGTTTCGGTTTCGGTAGTTAAGATTATATACAAGACGCTGGCGCTGAAAATCATAGCGGGGAATATAAGCATGAGAGATTGGTCGGAGTCGGTTGGGTAGACCGACAAATCTGCTCTTTGGATGGACGTACGAGAGAGAGAAGCCACCGACGCGGCGCCCCTATACCCCCATCCGGGAACTCCCTTTGATACATTCGGCTGACAGTGGTTTCGAGCGTAATTCGGAGTCACTCTGAACAAGCGCCTGATATACCCCACTGACCTGTCATATCGCTTTTAAAATTTCTTCTCAATGTCAGCGTTTTTGATTTTGTGCATGCTGTCCACCCTTCAACCTGGATGGGCTGCAGAAATCTCTTACATTATTATCATGCTGATATTAAGTTAGAAAATCTAAATATGTTATAAACAACCGCGCGGGCTCCCAGCTTAACTCTGTTTTTTTTTTTTTTTGTTGTGAATTATCAGCTTTTTTAGCACTTCCTGCTCAAACAACAATCACGAGAATGATAATATTGTAAGCGATTTTTGCAGCTCAGTCAGGTTGAAAGGTGGACCGCATTCGCAATATCGAGAATGCTGACGTTGACAAGCAAGTTTAGAAGTGATATGAAAGGTCCTTGGGGCATATCAGGTGCTTGTTCAGGGTTACCTCAAATTACGGTCAAAAACTGCGTCATAGAGTAATCTACACACGGTAAACAGCGGACGCTGCCGTAGGCCCGAGCGTCCCGTATACCAACTAGCGCGCCAAACGGTCGATGAGAAAAGCTTACTCTTAATTCCGGTTCCGGTGGTTTCGGTTTCGTTTCCGGCGCTTTTTTTGCCGAGCGTGCTGTCGCACGGCTTTTCTTACTTGATGGAACAAATGCTTCTGATAAAAAGCTTCACACCACGAAAGAGCAAAAATTATTGTCTTTACTGCTATGAAATATTAAGATATCTATTCTTGTCATACTGCTTCCGTTTGTTTACGTGTTTACGAAGTATTTTCAGGCAACAACAAAAAGTGCTTCAGAATGATTTATTTTTAGGTCAATCATAAACAGACTTGGACAATTCAGAATCGCGAAGTATTCTTCATGAGGGCACACACATTCATATCAATAAGAAACGTTACAAGAGTCCCACATTTGCCAACACTCCAAACCAGAACTTTCCAGTGATGCTAAACGGTTTGATTGAATTAATCATTGGTTGTCACAATGCTGAGCAGTTTCAGTAATGTGGGCATGTTGCCATAGCTATCATTAACAACTACTCTAAGCGACTTTATTGTTGCGAGCTCGACATTTAGCGATGTGCCAGTTTCGGGAATATTTCACGGGCACAAACTTTCACCACCGTGGGTGACATTGCATGTATTTATGTCCATAGGGCAACTTATTCACATTACCAATTTCTTGTGAACTTGATCAAATCGCGATATTGGCGAAAATTAGGTCCACACGAAGATTAGGTCGTTTAGGCTATTAGAGTACAGCCTAGACTGCACAGAATTGAAAGAAACAGATTCAATGTCAATATACACTTCACTATTTAGTAGCCTAACACTTCTCGTAGGCTAATAAAAAGGACCTCATAAAGGCCCAGGGAATATTCAACATTCCCATGCATATTCAACACAATGTGTGTACAGCAGAAAATATAGCAATGCTAGTACAGGGCCTGTGGGAAATTACAGCAAGAACAGGCAGCTAAGGTCAAACCACCTAACAGTGTTAGGTTATAAAAATATACAAAAATCGGTTACCAAAGTAATCATACAACATTTGGTCAATATACAAGGCACATTGATTAAAACCTTAACATATCGGACATGTTCGGCATATACTCCACGCACGCACCCTTTAAAGATCACTTTGCTACAAAACGTCCTCATCCCGTATATAAAAAAACTATGTCTTGCATTATAAAGTGCAAAAAAGCCAGAAATATAATCGGCATGCAAACTGCACAACCCAATTAAAAATCGTTCTTTCATAGGCGCCTGAAACACCATACCATACTAAGCTTTGAACTTCTCGAGTTGAGCGCCAGCAACAGAAGAATGAAACCGAACTTTTTCCGAGTTTCGATTAATAAAGCGCACATGCCAGCACAACCGCACCCTGCAAAACATCTTCAAAAACCTCCGCTGACACTCCTCGGAGCATAAATGCAAAAAACCAATACGCGACAGATGGTGATACAAAACATCACAAATATTGCGGAGGTGTGCTACGCTTTCTATAACACGCATAAAGTAAAATTCCAGGCTCTGAATGTAAGCGAAAGTAGCCTCCGAAGGCACAGTTCACTTGCCGAACATCTTTCCTGGAACATGAAAGGCTTTAAGCATCGTAAAATCTTGGTGGGGCCAGTTCAAGTTGTCAGACCCTTCCCTCAGTGACCCAGAACAGAGAGAACCCTGTGAACTTTTTTCCAGGAACAGCTTGATTAGAAATCCTGCAACATAATATGTATCAGAGTCGTCTATTATGTTAGAGTCTTTACTTGATGCAAGTTCAGAAATATCGTCCAATGAAGGGAAGTCGTCCACGGGGGCACATCCCACGGCATCAGCGATTGAGGTTGTCTCTAGTGAAAACGGGGAATCTCCTGAAGGAGGTTAGTGTTGTCATCTTCAACATTTCCCTTTTCCGAGAGTTTTAGGAGCTTCCTAATCCCAATGTGCCTCAGTCCACAAGTAAACCGATACACATCAGGATTGGTGTTGCAGCCGTGTTGTTGCCTCATCTGCCCAAAAATATTTTCGAGGGCATCTTGCTGCAGTTGCCGTGTCAAAAGAAAGCTGAAGTTATATTTCTCAGAAATATCTTCCCAGAGCATGAGGACGGCCCTGATAGTAACCTGCCACCCAGTGACTGTTTGTAGCTGCCGTCTACCCTCAAACTTCCAGGCTGCCACCCATGGAAGTTGGTTGCAAAGGAAATCAACGATTTCAGTGTCGCCCTTGCTAATCGCATAGCGTAACTTTTGTTCAGATTTTTTTTGGTCTCGAGCTGTTAAGACAGTCAAAAAGTTTGTCCATACGGTCACAAAAGTATGCCGTGCACATGGCCGCCTCAGGGAGCTGTCTGGCATACACAAGAGCTAAAAGTGCAACGCACACTGATGAACTGAGGACCTGAGTCGCACGTTTCACCTTTATTTTACTGAAAGGTTTCTGGTAAATATGCCGGTCTGTCAGTTTCGGGGCTAATCGTAGTCGCATCTCGTGCGTGGAGTGGTAAAGTTGCACAATGTAGTTCCAGTCTACAGTTTCACTCCCGATGTGAAGCTTGTGGGCTTGCAGGTTGTTACGGGTCGTCTTTATCACGTACGGCACATCAAAAATAAGATAGACACTTTCATTTCTTACTTTGAAGAATGGCTGCTCAACAGACACTCCAAGTTGATGCGCCAAACTTACGTTGGAGGCACCCTGGTCACACACCACTGCTTTGATAGTAATGTCAATGTCCTTCAGCTGCTCAATCAATGATATAAGCAGGTTACGAGTAACAGAGGATGGTGTTGACGTATGCCCAATAGTGTATGCTACAGGTTGCACCCACCTCCTAGAAACTCCAGAGAGGAGGAAAACCTGGGCTCTGTCAGCAATACTGGAAGTTCGCTCAACACCATCATCTGCAAATCCGAGGACAACATCCTGCGCCACATCGTATGACAAGTTCTTTTTCAATATCATCTCGTCAAACACTAAAGTACAAATGCGGTCGCGTTCATTCCATGACTTTGTTTTTGACGCAATCGATGACATGATGCCTGGAATGATACCTGGTGTCATTTTGACATTGGCGAGCCACCTTCGTAGTGAACGCTGAGATGGTAGCGTGAACGCTGAAGACATAAATCGGTATGCCCGCGGTCCATGAAAATTCAGATGGAGCGCAAATTTCTTCAGCCACAGTGGAAATCGCTTCCCCTTGCCCTTCGACCTATTCTTTATATGCGATGATATGAGGTGAAATACCTCTTCAGAAACATGAGGCCGAATTATTTCCAGAGCTTGTGGGAACCATTGGGTTCCCTCTATCCCTATCCAGGCCTAGCTTCAAGCAAGCCGTGGGAGTCGTCGTCACCAATGGCGTCGGCCTCCCGGATACAAGGAACCACGAGGCCGAATTCCCCGAAGGGGCCGGCTCTCCCTTGCCCATTTGGGTGAACGCGCCTTCGGCACACCCTTGAGAGCTATGATGGACGCGACTGCTAGTGGCCTCCCCGGGCGCGTCCATTCTCCGAGGCTACATAAGCTGGCCCCGAAGGTGGGCCAGGGGCTCTCGTCGGCGGAGGCCCTGGCTCTACGGAGCTCGGTTTTTCTTTGTGGGCCTCCGACTTCCCGTGAATCTGTCTAATGCGGCAGCGCGGGAAACCGACCGGGTGGTACTGGCAATTGAGCCAGCGCCCAGACTTTTCATTGTCTAAGAGCGAAGCGTGCTGACATTGCAGTCAATAAACACGTCTTTATCCGGACCCAACGAACCCTCTGTGTTGCTAAGTGGTGACAGCCCCAAAAGGGCGAATGCCACAAGCTTGAGAAGCTGCCTGAGGCGTCTTCAGCTGCTGTTTCCGCAGTCTGGCTATCGTCTTTTTGTAGTTGGAAAATCTCGCCTGGAGTCGCTTGATAACGTCCTCGGGCCTTTTCGTGAGCTTGCGGCAAACAGGTGCAGGATGGTTTGGACCAGCTATAAAAATGGCAACAAGTCAGTTAGATTAAAAACTGTTGCAATAAGTGCGATACGATTTAACCAGTACAAGCACCACTAACCAGTAGCATACCAGGTAAGGTGTGGAGTGAAGCATGAATTTTCTTATTGTGCTTTACAATTTAAGCACTGTCAAAGCCAGTGAAACTTCTGACCACCAATTACGTTATTCTTTTACTAGTCATGTAAAATGTTTTGTACTAAATGTCTTCACGTAAAATCCTTGATAACCTTGCAAGTTCGAAAGGCTGAAATAGCATGAAAAACACAAAACAGCCATGACAAATTCTCTTGAAACCTCCGCCTGATATGTGTGTTCCATTTTCACACACCTCCCCAGTCATTAGTAATACAAATGGTTAGATCGGTATGCCACACACACGAAGCAAAGACAATAGCTTATAAAGGGACCTAGAATTCTTTAAACTGATCTTTCTGGGACATATTGTATTATCTACTGGCTATGTAGGTTCACACAAATATGTTTCAAAAAGTGGCTAAAGCAAAATGGGACACTTACAGTGTTGACCTGGACCACAGTGGCCAGCGAAAAGACCAGAAGAGCTGGTTGCCCGACTTGGGTCTGGAAGAGTGCGCGTATTAGGCACAGGCTGGTGCTTTAAAATAACTATATTACCGAGTGCTGCAGAGTGCATTACTGCGGAGCTGCATAGGAGGGGTGAATTCTGCAGTCTGTCGGGCCCTGCCTGGTCTGGAAAGGTTTCATTATTAGACACAGAAGTGCACCATGACGAGATAACCTCTTACCAAGCACAGCACGGCTCGCTGCGACGGAGCTGCAGTGGAGTGAAGGGCCAGATGAGCTGGTTGCCTGAGTGGGACCTGGAAGAATGGGCTTATTAGCGTACATAGAGAAGTTACTGGTACCTTTGTGTATATGAGAGAAACACATTATTACAATCACCTATCGCAGGTGCCCAGTTTATGGGAGGACGAACAATAGGCACAGCTGATCGCACTAGGGTTGTTTGCCCTAGGTCCATAAAATCTTTTGCAGTGAAGTGATCACTGCAGACGCGATAGGTGGCATAGACTTGCGAAGCAGACTTTCCAAGAAGATCGCACCTCTTGGCATAGTCGAGCCAAGCCTTTGACCTGGAATATATATTATTTTCAAATGTGTTAAATGTACACTTTGGAACAAAATGTTAGATGCCAATCAGCAACCCTCTCTTGGACATTTTGGCTCCTCTTGCAAGCGATGGGGACATATTCTTATTTGGCAGGTTTGCTTTGTATGTCTCAACGCACACAGACAAATTTGGGCTCCTGCTCTAGAGTAGTGAAAAAGTAGCTAAACTAAGATATCATGGTTTTTGCGCGAGAGGACGAACACAAGAGAGTACAACAAGCACAAGCACGCTTGTGCTTGTTGTCCACCCTTGTGTTTGTCCTTTCGCACAAAAAAACATGATTTTTAACGTTCCCCAACTCGCCCAACAACAGGTCATTTTATAGCTAATTACCAGCAGGTGCACATTCACATTTCTTTAGGAAAAGACAGTATCAGTAGAGAGCAATATTCACCCCACCATGAAGCAGCGCTTTTATAACTCAAATTTAGAGCCACATTAAAAAAACACGAAAATTCACCCCATCATGAAGCAGCACATTTATAACCCCAATTTAGAGCCACATTAAAAACGATACATTCAAGCTATGTATGAGACAAATCAAGGGCTGCTTCTTTTCCTTAACAATTTTGTCTTATAAGATTAGTTTGTCAGTTTTTATCTTCAAAGACGAAGTGGTAAGTGAGTACTAAAATTAGTATAACTGACCTAAGATCGCTTAGCCAAAATCCCCACATTACAGTTAAGGCATCCAGTCAACTTTAGCGCTTGATTTAAAAGCGCATTCTAGTAATTAATTATATTGTGAAGAAAAATAAATTATTGGGATTTTTTTATATGCTCAAGTATGCAAATGGTTTTAAGGAACTATTGACAAGAAGGAGCTCACGCCAACCTACCTTGCGTCACGTGGTATTCGGAAAAATTGCGTTTTACCGTTGTTTTTGCACCATGCGACTCAGCAGTAGCTACCGTAGTAGCAACCGGAGGGCATCTGAGAAAGAACAAAATGTAAGATATAAACACAAATATTCGTAGCTCTTAGTACGATAGCGCAGCCCATGTAACAATAATAACACACACGGGAAAAGCCGGCTGCTGTCTGAGGTTTATTTCGCAGCGTCTGTTGGACCTCCGAGCATGCAAATAACGGGTAAAACCAACGGACACAATACAGTTCGCTTTTTTCTCTTGCCCATGTATGCGCACGCGGTGTTTTGCTCGCGGCTAAGCAATAACAAAGAAATGAGAAAACGTCTTACTTTCTGAAGAAACCTGTGAGGCGCAGACAATATCCACGTTGTGCTCACATGTGCTCAGCACAAAACGCGTTGACAGGTGTCAGGCACGATGCGGTCACGCCGTCCAGGCGCGCACGCGTCCATCCGTCCGTCCCGCTTTAGCCACGCCAGCCGCTTTCTCAGAGCAACTGCAGGAACCGGAACTGGCCCGTACATCACGTGATCTTCTTAATGTAGGAAACAAAAACTCTTTCACCTTTTATGATACTTGCAACAATTTTAAATATAATAAAATTAAAACTTGAGTATTTATTTATAACAAACCTCACGAAATATTTTTATTCTTTGGCACACTGGCACCACTTAGCGGTCGGTGAGAAAACTAAACGCTCGGCCGCGAAACGGCTCGAGTGGCCACTCTTTCCCTTGTGTAGATGTCTCTATGACTGCGTAACCATGGAGTTGTCGAAAATTACCCATCGCACTTGTTTCCTCAGAGGCGCTTTTTCTCTTTGTGATCCTGACGACCGCGTCCTTGTATACTTCTTTTTTTGTGGGTCATGCTAAGTTTCGGGTAGCGAGTGTTTAGGCGCCTGCGCGTGCTTCGGCGTCTAACGGTTTTTTTAGCAGTCTTTTTCAATATGTTCCCGACGACGGTTCCTTTTTGCTTTGCGGGGACTTCAATTGTGTAAAAGATTCTGTTCGAGATGTTCGCGGCCCTGAAAGCGGGCGTCCCACTTCGAATGCCCGTGAGCTTGTACGAATACTTACGCTCTACAGTTTGCGAGATGGCTGGCTGGAGTTGAATGGAACGGCGTACATGTCCATGTGGTCTCGAGGATCCTCGTCGAGCCGTCTAGATCGGGTATATGTTCCTTCCTGCCTAGCTGCTCAAGAAAGCACCTGCACGGTGCTTTCTTTTCCGACAGCCGCTGGCTACATTTCGGACCATCGCCCGGTGTCCATTGTTTTCGACGTCTCCAGTTTTTTGCAACCGCGAGGTGACACATAGAGAATGGACGCCTTCCTTCTGCGAGATGACCAAGCCCTTTCGAGCCTGCGTCGATCTATAGGGCTGTCACTGACGGTCGTTCCCCTGTCTCACACCCGGTGGGATGGAATCAAGGCTGACTGCCGTTTTCTTGCAACAGCAGCGGGGAAGATGCTTCGACGCAGGACCACCGACGCTCTAAACGAGGTTGTCAACCGCATCCGCGCAGTGCAGCGTGGAGGCGCGCGCACACACCTGATGTCGGAATACCTAGCGGTCGTCCGTGATCGACACCAGCGCCTTTTACGCTTGTCCTCGCGAACGGGTGCCAAGCAGCGACTGCAGGACCGGCCTGTGGATGACCCAGAGGTTCTTCGGTGCCTCCGCGCCGTGCGAACTGGTGGAGGCGGACCGCCTTTTATTCATAATGTCCAAGTTGCGGACGGGAGCTTTTCGGACGATCCACACGACATAGACACGGTTTCCAGAGATTTCTTTTCACAACTTTTTTGTTCGGATCAACTTGCATCTGAAAACTTTGCTGAGAAAGTTCGCCAGTTTTATGGCGACGTTCCTGCTTGCCCCGAGTTCTTGGCCTCGTCTCTGGTGCGTCCCACCGACAGCGATGAACTTTTCGAGGTCCTTCGTGCTATGAAGACTGGGTTTGCCCCAGGGCCCGATGGCTTGCCAGCCGAATTTTACGTTTTTTTTTTTGGGAAATATTCGGGGTCCCTCTTGTCCAGCTGGTCAACGGTATTCTGGAAACCGGCGCCGTTCCGCCATCATTCAAACGTGGTCGCGTGGTGCTTGTCCCTAAGGAAAGTGGCTTATCGTCGGACCCTTCGGCGTGGCGGCCCATAACGCTTTTGAACACCCGACTACAAGTTGCTGACGTCGCTGCTTGTTTCCCGTCTGCGCCACATTTTGCCCCATGTTGTAAGCCCAACACAGACGTGTTCCATACCCGACAGGAACATCTTTTCGTCCCTGTCCTTCACGCGGGATCTTTTTTTGTACGCCAATTTTACACACCTGTCAGGGTGCTTCGTCTCTCTCGATCACGCCAAGGCTTTCGATCGAGTCGAGCACTGTTTTTTGTTTGAAGTTTTGAAAGTTTTTGAATTTCCTGACGCTTTTATAGACTTGCTGCGATCTCTGTACAGTGGGCTGAGAAGCCATCTCCAAGTAAATGGGGGGATCCTTGCTCCCTTTTCCGTGACAAGAGGAGTAAGGAAGGGTTGCCCCCTGTCTCCTCTGCTTTACGTCCTAAGTCTGGACCCTCTCCTCCGACGCCTTGCGTCTTGCTCCCGTATACGCGGCTTTCCGCTACCCGGCCGCGGTAATGTCGCTGTTAGCGCGTACGCCGACGATGTTAGTTTGTCTTTGCGTGACTCGCAGAGCTTTGAGTCCACTGCGCAGATTTCTTCAGGGTACAGTTTCCTTTCGGGAGCGCGTTTGACCACCTCCAAAAGCCAAGCTCTTCGTTTCGGAAGCTCCCCTCCTTCCTTACATGCAGACATCCAAATTGTAGCCGTGGTTCGTGTCCTAGGAGTGTTTTTTGACTCTTGTGGAGTGTCGCCACGCACGTGGGAGACTATAATCACTGCGGTCGAGCGCCAAGTTGCCGTGGCGGAAACGTTTGCTTTGTCGCTTCGCGACAGGGCGTATCTTGTGAGAGCAGTTTTTTGCGGTCAACTTTTTTATGCGGCCCATGTCGGCCTCCCTCCGCCTCCTTTTTGCCGGCGTGTAACGACTTGCCTTTTTAGGTTTTACTGGGGCCAGGGCACGGAGCTCGTGACCAGAGCTGTCATCCGCCTCTCGACGTCACTCGGAGGAAGGGGAATGCCTTGTATCGATACCATGTCGCGAGTACTCGCGCTTCGCACCATCTTGGGGGTGCTTGACGACACAGAAAACCCGGCGCGCTGTTTGGCATTGTATTTCTTGGGTCCCTCGTGTCGAAGGCTCGTGCCTTGTACTCTAGGAAACCTCTACCCGAGCGCTGAGATTACACCCCGTTTCTACCAAACGGTGGTAACTTTTCAAGAGGATTTAGGCAAAATGGTGCCAGACCTAATGGTGCGAGACGAGCCACAGGCTCGTATAGTTGAGGAGGTCTGCTTGACGCGGATCACAGCTGATGAGCGAGTACGGGCAAACGCTTTTCCGTGGGACTCCTTAGTTTCCCGCCGTCTTCCTGGGCCCGTGGAGGACCTCGAGTGGCGCCGAGGATGGGGGGTTCTTCCGACAAGGGATCGTCTGCAACGTTGGGGCATGGTGCCCGATTCCCGGTGCCCGTACTGTGGAGAAGTGGAGACGAACTCCCACGTTTTTGCGAATTGCAGCGTTGCGCGTTCATTTTGGCGCCTCGAGCACCATGGTTTTCGCAATCTGGACATTGTGCACTACGTCTCGGGCCGCCGCTATCCTCGAGGAGGCTTCGCCCTCCTCCTATTAGCAGTCGGCCAGCATGTGCTTTGGCAAAATCGTTGTGCTGCAGTGGGCCAGCAGCGTCGTACGCGAGCCATGTTGCCTCTGCTGTCCCGTCTTCGTGGTTTCTTGTATCGTTATCTAGACCACGAACTCT